TATATATATATATATATATATATATATATATATATATATATTACTTGTTCTATTTATACATATACAACATTTACATCGTAAGTGAAATGTATATATTTTTAATATTTATATTTATATTACATATATCTAATATATTTAATTTTTCTTATATTATGCATTATAGAGAAAATACTATAAATAATTTATATTTCTATTTATATTAGATTTAAATCGACTATTTTAGTGTTGTTTCTAGGGTTCTTGTAGTGTTACTTTTTGAAATAGCAATATGTTTTAGAGTGATATTAAAGTGATATTAAGAAATTAAATATATTTGTATGTCTTGATATTTTGATGAAATTTTTTTTTTATTCTAGGTTTATTACATAAGTTTAATTAAAATCTACGTCCCTAATAATTCTATATTAAGTTATTAAAAAAAAATTATGGAAATATCATATATTATAAATTATGAATTTTCATAATTTTAAATATTTTAATGATATCAATATCGTATTATATATTATATATAATTATATACTATGAAAGCTATATTTAAATATGTTTGTGATTTCTTTTGCATAGGAATATTCCAGACATTTAGAATCGCGTTTCGCCGCGATACGTATACGCATGTGCAAACATTTCTATAGTTGTGTTCGTTGTTTAAAGGTTGTGGGAATATAGTTGAGTAAAGTAGCGAATGAATGTTGTTGTTCCGCAATGCAGTTGATCTTATGATTTGCGTATGCTTACGATTTTTATAACGTTTGCACGCATTCACGAAACAAATATAAAATCACGCGGACTATTAATTAAAAACTATTGGTTGATGTCAATCTTATATATAATTGTTTGGTCTATCGTGGTCTGTGTGAGAGAAAAACAAACAGTTCTCCACGATCTTTCTCGAACAATGCATCGCATATTATAGAACGAGTGTCACAGATAAATATATTATTACTCAGTCTAACATTTGAGATTTTTTTTGTTCGATTTAGCGAGCATTTGCATATCGTTATACTTTACATTCTTTAATGAGCTACCACAAGTAGGTAATAGAGGTTAGCGTCTCGCAAATAGTTCAAGGATTCGTATCGTGCGACGAAGTGTTTTGAAACGTATTTGTTATACATCTTTTTTTCCAAGACTTGTGCCAAAATCGTATGTTACACAACACAAATATTTTTGTGAAATTCTTCAAAGACATTACTTATCACACCGCACATTTGAAGATTCAAGTATATTGTTTCAAGTTTTGGTGATTCCAAATGACAGTAGGCAATTTATTATTTATAAGTTTTATATATTGATTTAAATTACAATAAATTACAAAAAATTACGATAAGATATTCTGAAAATATATTATTTGTATTTGTGATTTTATAAAAATTTTATTAATATGATTACATAAAAAAATACTTTAAACAGTTATCAATTATAAATATTGTTATTTTTATAAAAAATGCAATCAAATATCGAAAGAATTGTTATATTATAGTTTTTTAAAAATAAATTGTTATATTTATATAACAATTATATAACATATTTATATTATTATATTTGAAATTATTTGTCGATCTTTACTATAAAACATGGCAGCACTATCTACGCAGTATCAAATCTATTCTCCTACTCCGGTTCAGAATGCAATGGGAGGAGCAAATCTTCATACCCCTCCATCCATATTTCAACATATGATGGGTCAACAAAGTACTTCACAACAACCAGGAACATGGATGCAAATGCCACAAGTACCTCCAATGTCAATACCATGGAGTGTGCCATCTCTCCAACAACCAGAATTAGTAAGATTTACTGGTGGACCAAGTTTTGAACCAGTTCCTCATCAAAAGAGAAAACTTGAAACTTGTGATCTGTTAGATATGTAAGCAATTTAAATAATAATATGTAATAGAAAAAAATTTTTATTTTATTAATGTAATATTTAGTGAGTATGGAATATTATAGGAGGCAAACAAAACAGTTTATAACAGAAGAAAAAATGGCTGCACATTTCAAAGATTTGCATATTAGTTCCAATTATCAACAACATTCGCCTGTACCATCAACTTCAACAGCTGATACACAACCAGTTCCTTCTAGAGAATTGAATATGGAGTTAGAAATAGATGCAGCTAATACAGATCAATTAAAATCTGGACCCAGATTGATTCTTTCAGAAGAATTGAAAAGACTCAAGAAAGAACCTATTTTACCAAATTCTTTATTATCCAAATTGTAAGTCTAAATATATTATACAATAATATATATATATTTTTTTTATGAAATATATATGTTTATATATATGTTGAAATATTGCTTTAAAGTTTATTTATTTTATTACAGTATATTTTTTTTAATAAAAAAGATAAAATTTGATAGTTTTTCTCTTTCAGGGAGAGGCCCTCCATGGCTTTAGTTCTATGGGAACCTCCGAATAAACATCTTCGTATATTACCGACTAGGGATACACCCACTCCAATTCCTAATATTTCTGATGATAATAATAACAACAACAACAATAACAACAATAATAACAATAATAATAACGAAGCTATTTCCGATTTAAATCAAACTTTATCGAATAATTCGTCAGGTTTCGAACCAATGGAATTATGAAGGTAATTTATTAATTAAAAAATTGTTTTTACATTCTCATATATCGTTAGAGAAGAAAGAATGCGATATTATATTTTAATGTGTATGTAAATTAAAAAAAAAAAGTTTATATCTTATATTTTTTATCTGATACTAACATGCTTACACAAGGTTGAGTAAAGTAAATGGATGGCAATTCTTTTTATTAAGTGAAAGTAAGTAAGTAAATTATATTCATTCTATAAGTTAATGAATTAAGTTATATTATTATTTTACTTATCAATTACAAGAATATAAAATTGTAAACAAAATAACATCAGCAAGTTCCTTTTGTATATTACGTATGATTTATTTGCGTAAATTTATTGAAGAAAAATGAATAAATAAGAAAAAAAAAATTTCTTCAATAAATATACATTTATGAGTTTATTAGAAACTCAGTATTATTATAATTATTATTAATTCTCGAATCACCGATTAAAAAATAGCCGATCTTGATCATTTTTGATCCATCTGACTTGTAGATATTAAATATCATTTACATCATCGAAAACATGAATCAAAAATGACTCGGTTTCTGAATGAGAGTTAATATAGTATATTATAATTGTACCTTTATTATTAATAATGTTTCATTTCATTTTATTATAATAGAAATTAAAATACGATGATGATTACGCGATATATAGAGTGATACAAATGGACAGAAAATGATTATATATGCAAAAGTCAAAAAAAAAAAAAATATGATTTTTTTATTAAAAAATTTTATATTTTATTTAAAATTTCATTTTTAAGTAAATCAAATTTGAAATTTTTAAAATACAAATGAATTTAGCTAACTTCCGATTGAATAAAAATAAAATTTTTTTATTTAAAAATAATTTTCGATAAAATTGAACGAAATAGTATTGATGAGTATTTGATTAATTATTATTAATTATTATTATTAACCGATATCATCTAATATTGATCATTCGTTGAGGATTTATAATTTAAGATGGATTTAGAACTATCATCAACAAACACACAGTATTTCTAAATTCATTTAAATATATTTTAATGAATATGGTTTAATTATCTGCAGTTTAATTATTTATTCTCTTTAAATGTATATATTCAATCTTTAATTCTATCCTATTAGTTTTAGTTATATTCACACATATTAATAATATATTCAATTGAAAATTAATCAATCCCATATCCAATTGAAAACAAAATTTTGAATGAAAAAATTTTATTTCTTTACTTTTAATCTATTTTTGCGTATTAAAATTATCTTCTGTTCTTTTGTATTATCCATCCTAAAACATCATCCTGTATATAAATCAAAAAAAAAAAATAAACAATAAAATAACAACTAAAAATAAGAAGAAAAAAAATTACTCGTAATACAATAAATATTGGATAATTGCTTAGAAGTGCCTGAATCAAAAATTAATGGAATTTAAATTTAATCCTGATATAGATCAAAACTTAGAATTTTCTTTGTAATTTTCTACATGAAGACTAAAAATGAAAATAAATATAACGATAAATTTTATGGTCAAACAGAATCCTTCTCAATAAATATAAGATAACTTCTGGATACTTTAAATCACTTCGGAAAGTTATCCAATGTCTAATGTATTGTAATTTTATTTCTACAGTATGTATATGTATATGTAATGTAATCTTAAGGTTCTATGATGTTAAGGTTGTATTATATATAATTCAATTTGTTGCATGAATGATGATCCATTGTTTGTCATATGGGGATGATCTGACATATCAATATCTGATATGTTTCCAATTGTATGATTTTGCATAAAAATATGATAACATTACATTTAATTCTTTATTTATTTATTTGAGAAGTGATATATAGATAATAATAGATATATTGTTAAAGAATGAACATATATACTCATGCTATTGTATTATATTATATTACCTTTTTTTACGATATATTCTTTAATTTAATAAGTTTTTTAACGATAAAGTTTCTTAGTCCTCGTCTACGATTTTAATTTAGACTTTGGAAAATTTTAAATTTTCCTTAAACATCTCCTCATCCTCCAAAGGTTCACCATTAATAATTTCTGCGATTTTTTTATTATTCAACATGGAATTGTGATTTCCTTCTATTTTATGCACTGTCACGGTTCCATTAGTTAACTATATAAAAATAATAATTTCGTTATATTATCCTCATACGAATTAATTATTGATATTAATTAACTAAATATATGTAACCTTTTGTAATCCATAAGTTGGATCCGTTACTTCTATAGCCGGTACCGTTGGTGTCAACAACGTAATAGATGTTCTAAGAGGCGGTAAGGAAAAAGGATCGTATTTGTCCAACGCGGAAAGTCGTTTATAAATAAACGATACAATAGCTTTTAAAATTTCTGACGAGTACATCTTAAAAATATTCTCGGTCGAGTGTTTAACTAATACATCCAACTTTTCGTTCCAATTATTACACTTCTTTAATTCAAATTTGAACTGGAAAAAAAAATCAATTAGTATAAATTAATCGAATTTTTCGCGATGAATCGTGGAAATATACAATTCACCTTTTCGATAGTGGGTGATTTAATGATGCTTAGTATTTCGATGAGGAATTTATTTTGATACTCGCTTTCCGTAGATACCGCAAAATATTGTGACTTTATAGCTTTCATGTATTCGGGAGATCCGTCAATTAACGTGAGATGTCCTATTAGAATGTGAGGTTCTAATTTCCTAACTAGTTCCATGGCTATAACCGATCCGTATGAATATGCAACTATGTTGAAATCTCTACGATCTTTGCTCCTTGCTAAAACATGCTGAGAGAAGAGAAAGAGGAACGAATTATATTTTTTTTTTATCCCGAAATCTCTTCTTCTTTTTTTTTTTTAATATAATTATTAAAACATACGGGCAAAAGACATTCGGCCATTTCTTCTATGCTATTAGCAACGTCGTGTATTCCTAATTGCAAACAAGTGGCAGGTACTTTTAACATTGGAATTAACGAGGAAAAAGTAATGTGAGAGCCTTCGAGACCTGATATGAAAAATATTTCGTTCTTTTTTTCACCACATTTAGTAGGAAGCTCTATGAAATACTGATTTTGTAATATTGAAACGTTCAAGCTTTTGATAAACAATTTCATGCCGGTCAATTTTTCTGTCTCAATATTCAACAATTTAACTGGTTCTTTATTTTTTATATTTTTCCCAGACATTTCCACAAGTTTGGCTATGTTCAACACTCTGATCTCTTGTGCGCTTAGAAATATGTCGAAGTCTCTTTCTAGAGTCTGTTTTATCTCAACGGCAATCATAGAATCCATACCCAATTCAGCTAGGGAAGCAGTCTGCCTCACTCTCTTCAAGTCCTTTATATCTGTGTCGTTACAAAAGAATTTAAAAAAATTCCAAGCAAGCAAATTAAATTATGATTTTATCAAAAAGAAATTAAGAGAGGAATTATACTTACTCATGATATTCATCACTGCTTCAAGAACATTTGTAACTTCTTTTACGTTACCTTGTTTATCTGCAATCACTAAGCTAGACACGATTGGTTTACTATGACACAAAAATTTCTCCAATTCTTCTAAAAATGACGGTATGCTTTGAGGTATGGTCCCACTGATTACCTGTTTGTTCTTCAATACTTTTGCAGCGAGACCGACGTCTTTTATAAGGCCCCATTGAATAGCCATTCCGGGAAGGCCTTCCTCCACTCTTTTCTCGCATATTCTCTCCATTATTCCATTTCCAAACGCATAGTTAGTTTGACCGATATTACCTTTCCCGCACGCGATGGAGGAAAATACAACAAAGTGGCGAAGTTTCGGGCAGATCTTTCTCGAAAGCACGTCCAGGTTTTTGGTGATCGTGGCCTTGGGTTTTATAACTTTCTCGAACGATTCCACGGTTTGATTCACCATGAAACCGTCTTTCAACAAACCTGCCAGGTTGAATATACCGTCCACGGGCGCCTGCTTCTCTGCAGATCTCAGTATAAACTCGCAATCCTCTGATTTCGATGCATCCACGCCAGAGATGATCGAAACGTTAACACCGTATGACTTCCACATCTCTACCTTCATTCTTTGATAACCAGTTTGGATTCCGTTTCGAGAAACCAACACTAGATTCTTTGCGCCATGAAAGATCAACCAGTCCGCAAACTCTAGACCTAATCCTCCTAAACCGCCTACGATTAAGTAAGTTCTATCCTCGAAAGCGTTGAAACGAGGATAACCAAGAATCGGTGTGGTTACAGGAGTGTTCTCATCTGATATTTTAATCAGAATCTGCAAACAAATTTATTTTCGAGATTATTGTCATTATCAGAAGGAACAATAAGCGGAAGTAATTCACCTTTCCAATATGTTTGCCCGCTGCCATGTACCTAAACGCCTCCTCCAATTGATTCTTTTCAAAGCATTTTCTCACCAGAGGTTTAATGTTTCTTTCGGCCAATTGCTTATTCATAAAGTGATATATTTCCTTCTGTATTTCTTTATTAAAACCAAAGATTATGGCATCGAGTATCACTGCATGGAAGCTAATTTCTTTCAAGAATATGTCCAATCCCAGTTGATTGTTAACAGTCATGTCGAATTTACCAATTTCTAAGAAACGACCGCGGTAACCCAGGCAACGAACCGACGCCTGGAGTTTATCTTCAGCCAGAGAGTTGAGAACTATGTCCACCCCTTTCCCACACGTCTGCCTCATCACCATCTGCTCAAAACTTGTGTCCCGAGAATTTCCAATGTGATCGTCGTCTATGCTAGGAAACGTCTCCCTGATGAATTTTCGTTTCTCGGCAGTGCCCACCGTTGTGAACACCTCGCAGTTTTCGGCTAGGGCCACGTTGATGGCCGCTTGACCGACGGCCCCGCTTCCACTGTGGATCAAAACCTTCTCGCCCTTTTTTAATTTTCCAAAGTAGAAAAAGGCGTAGAAAACCGTGAAGTAAGCGGATGGAACGGTCGCAGCGTCTTCCAGGGACCATTCTTTTGGCACAAGCCATACGGTTGATTGATGGGGTGTGACTAGATTGGATATACTCCTGAAAATTGTAATTAATTTGAATTAATCGTTAATCTAGAGATTTTTTTAATTTCTAAATTGTTTCATATTTCTTTCTCACTTGCTCTCCACGAATCCCATCACTCGTTGCCCATTTGCATCGATCCCGCAGAATTCGAAACCAATAAAACAATTGTCCATTCTGGATTTCATTATCGCTTCCGGCATCAATTTTCCAGTGGCCAACATCACATCTCTGAAGTTCAAAGAAGCGTATACCACCTTGACCACGTTCTTCTTGTTTGGTTGAATCGAGCCCTCTATCCACTGGAGGGAATTCAGATCTCCTCTTACCTATTTGGAAAGCATTCGATAATTTAAAAAAAAGGAAAAAGGAAGGAATATTCTTCAATAGAAGAATATTTTTCTTAAGACAATGAATGTTCGAACACACCTTCAGATCGGCATAGGCGTGAGGGATCAAAGTTGGCTTCGGCTCCGGATAAGGCAGGTGCCTATACGTCCCCCAAATTTTTCCTGGCCTCAAGACGTTGTAAACGATATCTATGTCGAGCTGTTTGGAATAGAATGGATCCTCCAACGAGAACTTGGGCGCATTTTCGTCCTGGATTATCACGGTCCTCACAATTTCGCCGT